GGGGGGGGTGGAGAAAACCTTCTATACCAGGAGACTCCATGTCACATTCCACATAGCTTGAATGAGCTTTATCTTGTGGGGAAGCAGCTAATCTTAAGCGAACTTTTGAAATGGATTTTTCTGGACTATAAAAGAAAGGGGGAAACCGCCAAGTGAACTTCCATCTAAGGCAACAAAGGAAGTGAACTTTGTCAGAGCTCCTCATCACAGGTGTGATCAGCCACCTTGCTGGAATGTAGTGTGATAAGACTCTTACCTTGAACTGTCACTGCAGTTTTGTTAAGCGTTAGTCTCTGGAAAGCATTTTCACTTTGAATTGCTCATAAACCATTTCTAACTCTATCCATTTCTAACACTATTCTTTATATCTGAACTCATAAAATCCTATTAATGAACTTCTTTTACCTTTAATCTAAATTGACACAGTGCTGTGTTTGATTGTAAGTGTAGGTGAACTTCAGTCAATGTGATAAGCTTCTGGGTATTCTATCTTTAAAGGAACAAGCAAACCCAGATCGCTCTCTGAATGGTTCAAGAGAGGAATAGACATGGTTTTGGGAAACTTGGGATTGGCAGATTCAGCTGTCATCAACTAACTGAGATGCAAAAGAATGCTTCTGGACTCATGTAAGCCAGAACAAATGAACGAACGAACGCACTCACTCACTCACACTGCATGATATTGCTTGGAAGCACGCAGCACAGCAGAGCATTAAAAGCACCCAGAGTTGTAGAGCAGGCAGTGATCTGAACCTTACTGATCTGAACCTCCCCTAAGAACATGACACAAAGAATGATGGGTTAATTCATGTAAAATTATGATCAGTTCATGTACCTTTTAAGGCAACTATTCAGGATTGGATTGGAAATAGGAACCATCACTATTTGAAAATTAATATTTAGTGTTTGGAAACACTACACCAACAGCCTAATCTACTTTTTCCCCCTAGGGGTTTTTTCTTTATAAGAATGATTTAGATTATGTGATTAATTTTTTTCAACGGGTTTGGTGGAATTTTAAATGGCTGAGTACTAAGGCCTGGATACTGCTCTCTGACCCTGATGATCATGTGGATCATATAGATGTCAAGGTAAAAGGAGATCTTTATGATCAGTTAGTCAAATATCTTGCATAGTACAGGACATAGAAACTTGCCTAATAATTAATTCATCAAGGCCATAACTTCTGTTTGAGTTATAGTATACAATTTAGAAAGACATCTCATTTAAGCTCTCATTTATGGGAACGGCAGATCGGTCATGATGAAACAATCAATCTTTCAATAACAGCATATTAAAAACAAAGCAAAGCAGAGCAGAGCACATCTAATCTTTTTGCTAAAATGAACCATTTCATGATCACAAAGTCACTAATAGGAGATGACAACATCTTGAAGGGACCACTTTTTCTATGTTTTGATACTCTCTAAGTTCTTGATCTGATTACCTTTCATAACATCTTTGTGAGAGATGTAGGACATTTTATAGAGATGAAGAACATGAACAGAAGATGTAAATGACTTTTCAAAAGTTGCAGAGGGAGTCAGTGCCAGAGTAAGGAGTCAAACTCCTGTTATATAGCAAAAATACAATAATCAATGCAGCCATATTTAAAACCCGATGAAAGAACAGAGCTAGATCTTGTTAATGAAATCTGTGAACTCTGCCATATGACTCATGCTAAATTAATTCCCAGGAACTTCTGCCCCAGTCTTCGGGCCATTCCTTTATCTTGGACATAATCATCTGGAAAGAAATCTCAAATGGCTGATTCTGATCTCACTTACCCCAATTTTATACTATGCATAAACAATGCAGATACTGTACTCCTAATTTACAATGGTGTTGTTGATGTCAAAATCAGCACTTGGATACTGCCTATGCTCCCAGATCATGTGTGTGTCCCTGCAAAGCTTTTTTTATTGGCTATTTATTTGTAATAAATACAGGAGTATGAAAGGCAAGCTTTCTTGGTATTCCAGTCTTCACTGTATTTGAAATTATCTGAAGAAGTGTGTAGTCCAGTTTATCGGAAGTCTTTTCTCAATTCAGACATCATCATCATCCTGGAGAACATCCAGTCCTGATGCACTTGAGAGTTGCTATGACATCTGAGTTCATTGATGGTTAAAATCCACAAACATGATATTAAACATCTTTCACTTCGGTATCTTGTTTTTGATATTGTATAAGAGAATAAAGAAAGGAAACATAACGAATGGGTCTCTTGTTTTTTATTTCTATTGAATTGCAAAGGTTTCTGTGATTATTCATGGTAGTTACCACTATGCAGTCTAACTTGATCATTTCTTGCATGAGTAAAATATATTTTCATATTTTTAATAACTGTATTATATCACGGATTGATTTTGAAGTGAATTTGGGATTTAAACCATATGTGGACTCTCAGTAAAAATAAAAAGGAAGCTATTTAATTACCATCAATTGGACACCAGCACAAGCTGTATTGCAGACCTGTATGTATAATCTCAGCCTTGGAATTCTCTACATCTCCTCCTCCTTTCTTCATTTCCCTTCTTTCTTACTTCCGGAAGTCACTTGATTTTCTGATCTCTGTATTTTGGGCCTGATGCCTTTGATCCACAGACAAAAATATATGAATGTGAACGGATTGTTTCAGCTAGTATTTTTAATTAGACCTTCAGTGACTGCAGGCAGGTATCTTCAGATTTCTG